TTTCGTTACGAGTGCCGACTATAGTCGGTGGCCGCGAAACGACCTTTGTGTACGAGTGCCGATTATAATCGACGTTCGCGCCGAAATAGGTGTGCTGTTTGCAGTGCAACCGATAAAAGACGGTGCACCATTCAGTGGCGTTACTCTTGAAGAGTGGGCTTCCGAAAGGGTTAAAACAAATAAAAACTCCAGTTGCACAGAATATATAGACATTATACATCACATAATATAATAATAAACCTTAAATACTTCCCGAAGAATTGTTTAGTTTCATTTAGATTTAAGTGAAATTGTAAAAGTTTGGGTTATGTCTGTTGTGTAAAAATGTAAAATAACCATGGTTATTCGTTATGTTGTAAATTGTGTGCGATTGTATTGTCATTGCGAAGGTAGCGATAAGTTTATCTGTAGCGGATGGCGAAGAAAGAGCGAACGAGATAACATTTGTAAATTTCAGAGAAGCGATGCGTAGCTGGCGATCTCCTTGCGTGCACGGGGCGCTTCGGCGAACCTGGGGCCGTTCAAGCCACGGCTAGGGGAGGTGCTGTATGTATCGCCCTGAGGCCGGTATGACCTTGAGAGGAAGATAACGACCGTCTCCGGTAGTGAGGGACAGTGGACGAAGAACCACTTGGTTGTTCTCCGGGACCTTTAGGCTGGTCTAGGAGTAAAGTCGCTATGGTAGATAAGGGTAGTATTCGGGAAAAGTCAGAAAGGCCCGAGCGTGTTGCGAACATTGCTTGGGCGAGGCCCGAATATTCATTATTAACTTGTCGGTTGAAGAAGCTAGAAGCTATCTGGCTCGCTCTTGCAAGAAACAGAAATTACATTCGAAAAATCAATTATATTTCCTAACGTTGTATTGTTCCACGATAATAATACTTTTGCGTTCAATACATTTCGTAAATTCAATCTATGATTTGTACAATTTGTATTTAAATGATTTTGTACATAAAGTAATTAATCCCGATTTTGCTTTCTTCTTATTCTTGTTAGTTCATCAATTAACAATAAAAATAATATTTTATTGTTATATTTAGACATTTACCATTTGTACATAGAACATTGTCAACATAATACAAAATTTTAAATAAAATATTAAACTGTATGACTATGAATAACTCAGACCTTCCAAGGTGTTACACCCAGCCTTAAAGAGTTGAGAATTGAACACTGTTAGAAGTCGATTGCGTGTTTCAATCGTCTTTCAATTATTTCTATACATATCCTTGAGTACTTGTAGTGGTTCCTATCGTTTCCTCTTAATCGTTGTTTAACGTCGCGGATACTTGCTTCCGGTGTTCTTTTCATTCTGTCGTTGCCAAAGCATGGATCTCTCAGGGTCATCTTACGACGTTAGCAATAATATGAATATAATACACACATACGAACACGTACGCATGTGTACGTTCTTCGACATTTTTCACTTACTCAGATTAACGATCATTTTCTGGACATGTTAGTTAATCGCTAACTTCGAGTATGTAATTTCGTCTCGACAAAAACGTAATGAACTGTCGTATTAATCGACGTATGAGGTAAGTTCATTATTGATTGGCATCTTAACTCCTCAAAATAAAGAAGCAAATTTCTGTACGGGGATAAACTATAAAATGATTGGCATCTTAATTTAAATTCCTCAAAATAGAAGATCGTGTTCTCTAACAGAAAATCAACTTTTTGTACATGTATAAACTATGAAATGATTGGCATCTTAATTTAAATTCCTCAAAATAGAAGATCGTGAACTTCTCAAAATAGAAAATCAACTTTTTGTAGGATAAACTATAGTAGTTTATCTGGGATAAACTATAAAAGGTTTGACACTTAACTAAAATTCCTGAAAATAGAAGATCGAAAACTTGGACTCAGAAATTTGGAAATCTGACAACTCGTAATGTAGGAGCTTAGAAATTTGAAAATTGCCAACTTTAAAATTTACAAGTTTGATAATTAGTGACTCAGAAAGTAAATCTGAAAATTCGTAATTAAAAAATTTGAAAATCTAAGAATACAAAATTTAAAAATTTGAAAATCTAAAAATTCGAAACTTAAAAATCTGTAAAAGTAATTAAAGACTTATCGCAAATAACCGATACAACTTATTACAATTTACCACGTGGTAGTAAAACAATAAAAAATGAATAACCTCGTATATTTCCATCTAACACCTATCCCACAATCACTAAAAGTATTTTCTCTCCCAACATCAATGCTCTTTCCAATTACACCTACACCCACAAGCTTCGTTACATCCACCTACTGTATACCCGCCACAAAATGAGCTCTACGAATTCGGAGAAACAAATCTGCTTCCTTTGTTTCTCCATTTGATTGCCGTATATGACTGCCGTTAACAACTGTTCTCTAAGAATACCCGAGAAAACTATAAGAATACATGACAAATGTATATCTAAGAATTCATGAAAAATTCACGTATCTTCATTCTGTTCTGTCAACACTCGTCTTGTGACGAGCGAATATTCTGCACACAAAGTGAACCACCCTTGACAACGACAGTTCTAATCATAAATATAACATCTCAACGTTATCACAACTATTCTACACATTGGTTCAAATATTTATACACAAATAAATATCTATTAACGCTAGGTTAATGTGTGGTGACGCCAGGCGTCAGTGACGCATCTTAGATTAGGATGCTTTTATCGAAATGTGTATTAACCTTAGTTAAGATAAAAAATTAATCAGGAAAATGTTACATAAATTGATTTTTGTTTTGTTCTTTACTTAGTTATCGTTTATCAATATTTTTAACGCGGTAGTTATTAAATATTTTATGTTATTTGGTGTTGAAATTATCGTTGATTGTTTAGCGAAATTTTTTATTAATTATTTGGTGTTATTTGATGTTGAAATTATCGGTGATTGTTTACTGAAATTTTTTATTAATTATTTGGTGTTATTCAACATTACAACTGTCATTAATTATTTAATTTTATTTAATATTACAACTTTTATTAATTATTTAATGTTATTCGACATTGCAATTCTTAATAATTATTTAGTGTTATTTAACATTACAACTCTCATTAATTTCTCAGTTTTATTCAACGTTACAATTCTCAATAATTATTTAGTATTATTTAAAGTTGCAATTCTCATTAATTACTTAGTTTTATTCAACGTTACAATTGTCATTAATTATTCAGTTTTATTCAACATTGCAACTCTCATTAATTATTTAATATTATTCAACATTGTAACTCTCATTAACTATTTAATATTATTCAGCATTACAACTGCCATTAAATATTTAATATTATCCAACATTAAAACTCTCATTAATTATTAAACATTCTTCAACATTAATCAAAGTGATTTCAAGTTTCATATTTCACATCGAAAAATCATTCGATCTGTCATATTTCCTCTTGACAAAATATGAAGAATGATTTCACACATAATGCTTCATTTAACCAATTAACTGGGGAATTCACTATTGAAGATCCCCCACAGTAAACAAAATTAAACAATGATTAATACACGTCGAATACATGACAAATGCCCCTATAATAAATTTCCCGAATGAAACCAAACAAAACGAGTAAGCTTCACATTTTTATTCAATAAAAAATTAATAATTCATCACCGAAATAAAATACTATATACAGTCAATATTTATAGCTCCTCATAAGTAGAATCATAATCACATGTCACGTGATCGTGAGTGACAGTGAAAAATGAGAATGTGTTTTGAACCACCCTAACATACTAATTCCTACAATAATAACTTTCAATCGAAAAATGAATGTACAATAAAGAAATACTCCATCTTTTAATAATGACAGCATACAGTTAGCTGGTTATTTCTATTTCTACATAAGACATACTTCTACACATCACACATGGCTATACTTTACTTTAATGTACTTCCATAACAATATTTATATTTTTAATGAAACAGAGTACAAATTACTCCACTTTTTCGTAATGTCAGTATTTGCGTCAAACGTAGGTAGCTAGTTATTTCTATTTCCACATAGGACATACTTCTATACATCACACATGAATATACTTTACTTTAATGTACTTCCACAATGATATATATATTTTCAATAAAATAGTGTGTGAATTATCCCATCTTTTTTTAGTGACAGTATACAGTTAACTGTCTATTTTTAATTCCACATATGAAACATTTCTACACATCACACATGAATATACTTTACTTTAATGTACTTCCACAAATATATATATATTTTCAATAAAACAGTGTGTGAATTACCCCACCTTTTTATAGTGACAGTATACAGTTAACTGTCTATTTTTAATTCCACATATGAAACATTTCTACACATCACACATGAATATACTTTACTTTAATGTACTTCCACAATGATATATATATTTTCAATAAAACAGTGTGTGAATTACCCCACCTTTTTTTAGTGACAGTATACAGTTAACTATCTATTTTTAATTCCACATATGAAACATTTCTACACATCACACATGAATATACTTTACTTTAATGTACTTCCACAAATATATATATATTTTCAATAAAACAGTGTGTGAATTATCCCATCTTTTTATAGTGACAGTATACAGTTAACTGTCTATTTTTAATTCCACATATGAAACATTTCTACACATCACACATGAATATACTTTACTTTAATGTACTTCCACAAATATATATATATTTACAATAAAACAGTGTGTGAATTATCCCATCTTTTTTTAGTGACAGTATACAGTTAGCTTGTTATTTTTATTTCCACACAGGACATACTTCTATACATCACATATGAATACATTTTACTTTAATGTACCTCCACAATGATATATATATTTTCAATGAAACAATGTACAAAGTACTCCATTTTTTTATAATGTCAGTACCGCATCAAACGCAGTTAGCTAGTTCTGTTTCCACATAGGACATGCTTCTATACATCACACATGAATATATTTTACTTTAACGTACTTCCACAATGATACATATATTTTCAATAAAACAGTGTGCAAATTACCCCATCTTTTGCCCGTATGTCCGCAGTACGTGCCCTCGACCGGATCATGAACGAAATCTCGCAGGGCCCTCCATCGCGTCTTGTACTCCGGCATCCGATTGAACTCGTAAGTGTTATTCTGCATCTGCTTGCCAGGTACGTCCATCGCGAATAAATGGTCGTAGCACTCGCGAGAGGTTTGCCGTTTGCACGCGACGCGGATACGCGTGTATCTCGATCGAGTTTTCTCGGAGCTGTTCTGGCACGCGTGTTCGCGATCTCTCGTTGCGAAAACGGAACTGGGCAGAGAGTGCTCAAGCGGGCAGCTCGCGTGTACGCTCGACGAACTCGCACTTTCGAGCTGTAACGGCTTACTACCGCTCGACGTCGAACGGAGCCAAACAAGATAGCCGCGAGCGTAGCTGACGAGAGTCTACCAACAGAGTAGTGGGAACGTGGTAACGAAGAGGTCGCGGCTTGACCAGCCGCTTTTTCAATCTGATTAGGATGAAATCGTAGCGGATGACGAATGTAAACAGCCTCCGGAACGTTGCGACCAACTGCCTCGATACCTTTAATAAAATTTTGTCGACTACGTGATTAATTACTTCCGCGTGGAATTGATTTCGAAGGGATTTCAGGTACGTGGGTGAGGTGGACCTTGAGACTGGTGGGGAATTGGAGTCTGATTGTTTGTGGAGGGGTTTTGGGAATGGGATGAGGAGATTTAAGAGGATTTGAGAATTTTGAGTTTGGGAGTTTGGAGATTTGTGGATTTGCGATTTGGGAGATAAGAATTTGAGACTTTGAGAATGTGGAGATTTGGAAAGATGAAAATTTGGGGAAATGAGAATTTGGGGATGTGGAGATTTGGGGAAACGAGAATTTGGGGATGTGGAGATTTAGGGAGATGAGAATTTGGGGATGTGGAGATTTAGAGAGATGGAATTTGGGGATGTGGAGATTTAGAGAGCTAAGAATTTGGGAATATGGAGATTTAGGGATATGAAAATTTGCAAAAATTTGAAGATCTGTGAAGTTAGGATCTGGAGCTTGAGATATCAGATTTGTGAATTTGGGGATATAGAGATCTAGAGAGAGCAAAATTTGAGAAATTTGCAAATTTGAAAGTTTGAGATGAAGATCACACAAAGATTAAAAGTGAAGATAAATGAGAGTTAAATATGAAAGTCATACAAGAAAGAATGTTACATGTGAAGGTCACGCAAAGGTGAAGGTTGAAGACAGAAGTCATACAAAGATCAAACTTGAAAACGAAGGTTATACAAAGATCAAACTTGAAAACGAAGGTCATACAAAGATCAAACTTGAAAACGAAGCTCATACAAAGATCAAACTTAAAAAAAAAGATCACACAAAGATCAAACTTGAAAAGAAAGGTCCCACAAAGATCAAACTTGAAAACGAAGGTTATACAAAGATGAAACTCAAAGTCGAAGGTGATATCAGAGCTTACAATTAAATATAAAGATCATATAAAGATGAAACTTAAAAATAGAGATCTCTTCATCCAAAATCTTCTTCTTCCAAATGACTTAAACTTAAATGAACTATAAACTTATATTCCGTGGCAACTGTAAACTCATAATCAAACGTGTTGAAGGTCATTTCGTTTCGCATGTTCCTTATCACGAGATGTATACATGACTGCAACGAAAATCACGCTTTGCTGTAAATTGAACTTCCCGAATTCCGAAGAAGCGATGTCTCATAAAAGGCTATACGTAAAGTCGGTCAAAATTTTAAAACGCGTCTTTAAAGATGGATGCTTTAGACTTTAGACGTTACGTGCAAAGTTTACATTGCAAACACGGTGTTGGTAGCCGGTCTTGATGATTATTCAAGTAATGTGTTTGAAGAACGATTATTTAAATGATGTATTATCTTGTGTAATGTTACTATTTGTTTGTTCAGTGTTTTGGTAAATTTTACTTGAAATAATTGTTATATTTGATGAGGAAAATGATTGAAAGAAATTATTTTTGGATAATTCTGTGTTGGAATAAATGTTAATTAATTAATTCCTAATTATTTTATGCTAACGTTTCTAACAATTAAACAATCTTTAATAATTGAATAATAATTTTATTGTTAGTTGTATTGGTATAAGAATCGAATCTTTGAATAACTTAAGCAACTCAAACAAACTTCACAGAGTATAAAGTTACACTTTCACATTATTCCAGAAATAAAAACAATGTATTCCTTCAACTTGTTATTCTTTTATTTCAAATAAAATATACCCACTGTACTTTATATTATACATGCATAACGTACATGCGAACGAACATCGCAAACATAAGTGTACTAAACAATCAAAATTAAACGTGATATACAATAAAATACCATGAGTATTTCAGTAAGTAAAAAGTATTACTTGCCACGTTTCGCAAACATTTAATCCTTGAACCATTTCGCTAGAACTCCGATCAACTTGCTAAAATAAAAACGTTAAATTAATTTAAATTAATTTTGGTAACAAAATATTAAATTCTAAGATTAATACTATAAAACTTAAAGGTAAGGTACTATAAAATAAAAGGGTGCTTTTTGACTTTACCTATAATTATTTGGAAATCTAACGCTTTACGAGCTCGATCCTGAATATTGGCAGCCCATAAATTGCACTCGATCGTGACCAACCGATTTGCTGTGGTAATTATCGTGAACAACACGTTTATTGGTGCAATTTATTCTGAAACCAGAATTTAACACTCACGTGTTAAGTTCTTGAATTGCAACGCCACGATGGGGGACAAATAATGCGGCTGGCCAGCGAATGGAAAGTACTCGTTCGAAAATCCTGGTCGTGGGGTATATTCTATTTCTCCCATATGCTCTTTATCGACATTATTTACTCCGTCGCATGACAACCACACGTGCAACTGAAAATGTTAGATAACGTTTACATCGGTGATATTCGAAAATGATAGCTACTTTATCTTGGCGCACATTGGTTCATCAGAAAACTTGGAAAATAGAAATTTCATCTTTTCTATTTTAATTATGCAATGTTTAAATTGCTTTATTGAATTACTTAAATAGTCTAAATCGTTTAAATAGTTAACTAGTTTCTATTTTAATAATTTGTTTTAATAATTTTTACATTTACATATGTATTTTACAATTACATTTTTTACATATGTAAAATATTTACATACGCCTATTTTAATAATAGTAAGTAATTGTGTATATATATAGAATAATTGTAAAGAAATTTTCCGTGCAAATATCATAATAAATACACTAATTAAATTATAAACTTGCTATTACTACATTAAAAATCAGCAATGGTTTTATTATTACATATAAAATAATCATTGTTGATTTTTAATACAAACCGAAAACTCGTTAAGTTCGTATTATCATTATTATTAGGAGGACCACAAAGTAATGTCATTTCTGCGCAAAGTAACATTTGTCATTTATCAACTGATTGTGTTCTTTGTCGTGCCAAAGTTTTCAGGTTAAATTGACTCGTTTACTTGCAAATAATTAAATCTGAAATTTTCCTTTGCAATTTTATGTGAAATAGCCAGCCAAATACCAGAGGTACATATCCATTGTATGCTTTTTGAGTTTCACAAGGGTAGTAACGCAACAGTCGCTACCAAAAACATTTGCGATGTTTATCCAAGTGCATTGGACGTTCGCAAATGCCAAAGGTGGTTTTCCAATTATTCCAATCGCAACGACACTTTTGAAGTGACAAAAAATTTGAAAATTTTGATGATATCCAAAATGCCGTCTCCAGTTATTTTGCCCAGAAACCAACTGATTTTTATCGAGCCGGCATTGAAAATTTGCACAGTAGATGGCAAAAGCTTCTCAATAACAAGGGTTATTACATTACTGATTAAAAATAAAAACTTGTTAAAAATTCATTTGAATACAACATAAAAACACTTTCTGGTTCTCCTAATGTAATTCATAGCAGTTTAACAATTTTCTTTTGAAATTAATAAAAGCACCTTATCACTTTCCAGCACCATTTTCTTCAAATTACTCGGCATACTCTCCGGTAAATGGGAAGATCGATTATAACACACGGGTACCCAATCGAACCTCTACAAAGAAAATTGATTACTTCGATATTAAATTACAAACGCAATTTAACATTACCTTATTGAATTTAATGAGAATGCAAGGTTGCATAGGTTCTGTGTATCCGAACGGAGGTTTGCTACACGTGCCTAAATTTGTTATATCGAAGAAACAAGGTTTTTCGAAATAATTCGAACCGCCACTTTTGTCTTGGCAATTCAAGTTGTAATACGACGTGTTTTTGTGGTACTCTGCAATAAAATGGTATAATTTTGATAAAAATAAATAATGTAATATTATAAAATGAATTAACAAGATATTTAATATTAGGAGGATGCAAAAGCTTTCGTTGTGATGAAGAGCTATTTTAATCATCAACGTCTTTTATTTTATTCGTTTTTATTATTTTATTGCGTTCATTTTGAGTTTGCATAAGAACCATATTATTTCTGTTATTTGTAAGATGTTAAGTTTAAAAGACTCCGATGAAAAGGATGCTTTTGTATACCCTTAACAAACAGATGTTGAGTACCTTGCAGAAAGTCAGTCAAGGCTTCGATATACCGCTTCGGTTTCGCATTAGCACTTGCATTATTTATCGAAATTATGGGTGATGCAGATGAGACGCTGTTTGGTTTGAAAACTATACCTGCAAAATAATTCTATTTAATAGATTTTCCGTTATTAACAACATTATATGATTCGAGACTTTTCGGTCGAGTATAAAAATTTTGAAATTTTGAGATTTGGAAACTTTCAAATTTGGAAATTGTGAGATTTTGACATTTTTAAAATTTTGGAATTTTGGAATTTTGGAATTTTGGAAATTTGGAAATTTTGAGATTTTGGAATTTTGGAATTTTGGAATTTTGGAATTTTGGAATTTGGGAATTTTGGAATTTGGAAATTTGGAAATTTGGAAATTTGGAAATTTTGGAATTTTGAAAATTTGGAATTTTGAAAATTTGAAAATTTGAAAATTTGGAATTTTGAAATTTTGAAATTTGGAAATTTTGCAAATTTGGAAAATTTTGAAATTTTAAGATTTTGGAATTTTCAAATCTAAAAATCTAGAAATTTAGAAATCTGGAAATCTGGAAATCTAGAAATATAGAAATCTAAAAATTTAAAAAGCTTGAAATTTTCATATTTAAAAATTATGTAACTTTTGTATTTCTAATTTCGTGACTTTCGTTCTTACACACCTGGGCTCTCTAATTGCCAAGGCGAACTGAAAATGGCGAACCTCTTTCCGATAGAAGACTTCGGAGTAACGCCAGGATATTGAAAGAACGGTTTCTTCAACTGAGAAACATAATCAATGCTGATCTTCATTTGCACCGCGAAGATCGATCCCAAAACAGTAAAGAAAGCCAAGTAAAATATTCCCACCTGACCTGAATTTCAAACACGTGTTTCGCATTAACACAGTTTTCGAGAAATAAATTTTAATGCAATAAAAAGAACCGGATAAATTTAAATTGACACAACGTATCTGCGGGCTACGCATAAACTTTTAATTTATAGCAAGTTATATTCAACATTTGTAACATTAAAAATGATTTATGATAAAGAAACATTATTTTTAGTGTTAAAATTACCCCATTCTTTGGCGGTTCTGTCAAAGATGGTTTTTCGTTCCTTGTTCCATATGAAACGCGAGAAATTTCCAATTGGTCCTAAATCGGGTTGGGGTACTCGACTTTTGTAATATTCTTCGTCATGTAGTATAACCATCCTGAAAATTGAAGTATATATTTCAGTGGAAATAAACTGGGAAAAACGTCAACTAAATTACTGAGTTTTCTGAAGTTAGGCATTTGTTACTCTTACGAAAATCTCGAACAATATTTCCAAATTCATAGTTTTCCAATTTTCAAATATTCATATTTCCAAACTAATAAATTTCTAAATTTTAAAGCTCACTTTATTACAATAGTAGAATAACTTAACACCTATCTTCCTATATCAATAATTAAAAAAATATATATCTTGTAATTAAACAATTACACTTACCGTTTGACGCACCGATTTCAAATTTCGTCCATAATTAATACATCAATAATGCTAGGTACAAATATCTTTAAGCCTAGTTCACATAGTCATGTTAAAACCGGTACATACAACAGCATAACAAGAATAAGCACATATTCGTAACCTTTTCAGTTTTAAACAAACTAATGTAGTCTTGTACATACATATAAATATGTAAAATATATAAAAAAAACCTTTTAATTTGTATTACGATAGGAAACAAAATTTCATGAATATTTCCCTTTAGGTGTGAGGTAGCTTGTAATTTCGGTTTCATGATTCGCGTCTGTCGAGTAGTTGGATTGTTACGGTATGGCTGATACGGGCCTAAGTTTAGATGACATAATTAAAAAGTCGAAATCGTCAGGAATGAGAAGCAGAGGTGGAGGGTGAGACAAATTTAACAAATTCGTTGTAGTATTGATTTTTTAATGATTTCTGTATTATCGATTTCCATATAACCTTAAAGGAGTAGGTTCACGGTTATTAACAAAAAATGTTGTTTTACGTTATCGTCTGACAGTACATTTGAAGATTCTGTTCTTCATTAACAATAGTTTTCTTTGTGCTACTTTATTTTATGACTGGTTCGACTCCGTTTCATGAGCTGAAATTAATAAAAAAATTCTTTTAATTTGAAGACCTACATCAGTAATATATATCCTTGTCATGTGCGTTTTAAAAGTTTACATTTTTCCTCACAGATGTTTTAGAAACATTAAAATTAACGAGTCTTATTACCTATACATTCATTCTGTTCTTTTATTTAGAATATACATTATAAATTTTATTTATAATAAACTGTTATAATTTGATTGATACTTGTTTACTGCTATCTAACCCTAATCCATATTAGTAATGTTACAGTGTAACTTTACAGTAGGTAAACATCTATTTTTAGAAGTTAACTTTCAAGGAAGTTTGAATATTATCAACCTGAAATTAATCATAACGTTTGTTACCTTTTTACATAGTGTTCGAAGAGGAATTAATAGGGGTGCTCGTGCCAATGGTTTGTTAAGAGGACGGGGGTCGAAAGTAATTACAGATGCACGATTTAAAATTATACAAAAGAATCGAGAGAAACTTACAGATGCAAGAGATAAACTTGCTGAAATTGCTAAACAAAGCGATGCCAGATTGAAATTAGATAAGATTCGTGCATCTCAACTGAAAAAGATAGAAACACAGATACCTGGAATTTCCCGCAAAGCAGGTCGCAATGGAAGGTTGTCTTTGTCGACTAACAAAATACCTCCAATTATTCCACATACAATGCCACCAAATATTCCAAATAATTACATGCCTCCACCCACAAGGACAGTGGGTTATAGACCACCTTCACTTGCGGAACCTCATTATATGGGAGACATGAATATGGATTACAATGATGGTATTCATGGATCAACTTATTTATTTAAGAAAATACATCTGTTTGAGTACTTCAAAAAACATTTTTGGAGTCTTTTGATTTTTCTTTTGTCAATGTGTTTTGAAAATTTCAGACAGATGTAATTCTTAATATTTTATAAAATTATTTAACATGCTTGTATATTGCAGATTATATGATGGAAACTGCACCATTAAGAAGAACTGTAAGTAATGAATATGCTCCTACACCACCTCCTCCACCTCCTGTGTTCAGTATTAAACCTGCATCTTCATATACATGGGTAAAACCAGCAAGTAGTAATATAACAAGAATTGTACCTTCGCGTAAACCAGATGTTGAGAGAGAACACGAAAGAGCAAGGGATTATAAAGTTATTGCACGTTCTTCAATGGTAAATATTTCTGTAAGCAATTTAACATATTAATTTGTTATAGTGGTTCCCAAACTGACCTTTGATTCATGGAAGGCATTAATATTTTCAGACCCCAAAGCACAGTTTAGGAACCACTGATCCATTATATTTTTTTTTTATTTTCAATGGTTATTTATATTTAATATTCCAGGCAAAACCTCCTTCTCCTACATATAAAGAAGATTGGACTTTTGGTACAAAATCACGGTAAATATTTTGACTAATAGACTGCATAATAATCCATTTTTTATTTGTATTGTTTGCTAATAATATAACTGTTTTAGAACTATATTAGCAGAAGATCCGGTAGATTCAAAATATTATGACTCGCGAAGTCACAGAGATATTGGTGTAAAATCACGATTAGATTCAGTTCCAAATAAATCACGAAGCATGGGTGTTTTATCTCGATCAAAAACGAGTACCAGTTCGTCGTCATCACAGTCGACTGGTTATCGAATTGTAGTATCAAATTTACAAGCAAACGTTACACAGGAGGATATAAAGGTACGATCATCAAATCTACCAAATGTATTTAGTACAAATAAAAATTTATGTTTTATGCTGTAGGAATTATTTGAAGATGTAGGAGAATTATTAGTGTCCAGATTAGTGCGACCGGGAACGGCTGAAGTAATTTATAAGACATTAAAGGACGCTACAAAAGCCGTTGAAACTTATCACAACAGGCAATTAGATGGTCATCCGATGAAATGTCTCCTTGTAAATCCACGACCAAAAAACAATCCAACAGGACCCGCAGTAAGGTCTCTTACAGAGTGAGTACCGATTCATTTAAATACATTGTTTAAATTCGTATTTTCTTTCTGCACTATCAGTCATTTTATCGTAACCATGAAATACAAATTGGAGGCAAATTTATTTCTGTACTTTTGCAGATCAAGAAGAAGCGTTAGTTCAAGTTATGTACAACCGAGTTTAGGAGCAGTGCATCGTGCATTGTTTGATGATTCTTAATTAAATGTATTAATTCTAATAAGAAAATGCCACGTGTAATGGCAATGAATTCTATTCCAAATACAGTAGCTGTTCGCTGAATGAATCCGATCAGGGCTCTGAACAGATTTTTTTTTTGGAAACGCTCATTAATAGAACTACCAATGACACATTCTTCTTGGAGGTTGTTCATTCATTTGTTCAATGTAGTTTGTTTAGCGAACGCCCATTTAGTGAACGTTCGTTTAGCGAACGATTATTGTATTTCTAAAAATTGGTACATACGAATGGACTAGATATGACTTCATAAAATGAAAAAACAAGTAATTTGTAGAAAAAGTTCTAAGCGAAATTTGTATCTATAAAATATCATGTATTTTATTTTTAATTTGTATAAACTCAGTACACCTCGGTAATTGAATGAAATAATTATGATAGCAAACGAATTTAAAGCAACTGTAAACGACAGGCACAAAAATGCTTCTTGTACATTTAATATATCGAAATAAAAATGATGAGCATTTAGGAATTTTTAATATTTCGTATTCAATGAGAACGTCGAAGAAAAGAACAAGCATGCGAATGCCCGAACATTCGAATGAAAAATGCAAATAATTGTGGCTTTTTATAGAATACTGTAGATAAAGGAATTAGGAGTTATTGTACTATGGTCTGTTATGGTAAAAATTTTATTTACTTGGTATAAGACGATCACAATACTGTAATGTATGGTTATAAAATATAAAAACTAATATACCATACGTATTATTAATGACATGCACTGAGTTCTCTAGGTAATTAGGTATTAGTTATTAGGGAGATGTTCGAGCAAGTATTTGGAATAGTTGACAATTGTAATTTGATGTAGTAAATGGCACATAAATAACTTTATTCCTTCATCACAACTACAACTTCTAAAGAGAAATCAAATGTCCGAGATACGACTCGAATTTGTCTTTCTCATTAATCTCGTATAGATATCGCCAACAATATATATATATATATTAACGTTGTGTACCTTTGTTACCCACGCACATCCACATGAAAAAAAAGATATACAATTAACATATAAAATACAATAAAAAAATTAATGTCTAATAGTTGACTACCTAGTACGCGTAATAATAATAAAATTAATTTCTAATACAATGGCCGCTCGACAAGCAGCGGCGCTACGAGCACTAAAGTCGGATCTTACAAAGCGTCTACTTATCCAGCGGTCACCGTAGTTGAGTACCTAGTAGACACTATACGCAATTTACAAAGTATTTTTAATTAACGCTGATTATCAATACTGAACCATCCGAAATAATTTAATCATGTTTCTGCCTAAGTGTTCACTTAAAATCAAGAAATCTCGAACCTCTACACCTAACACACGGTCAAGCGACATCGAGTTCGAAATTTCTTGACTTCTTGACTATACGTTACGTATGAAAGTCACTTTTCTCGTCGCGTTTCTTAACTTCTATGATTGCTCATCTTAGCTTTGTTTGGCAACCGAAGAACTTCAGCGTACGACATTTCTAGCCTCTTCAGCCGGGCAACCTCTTCCGACGCGGTGCTCGGTTTGTAGTTCCTGTACTCGAAAGAATTATTATGTTGTTCATTGCGCGCGCACGTATTGTTAGCTTGTTTGCCCGTATTCTGCGTTTCTTTCGTTCTGGTCGCGTAACTGTACCCGTTGCACGTGCCGCCATTTTGGTCATAAACAGTGAATGGCCGGAACTTCTTCTTCCCGCTGTTGCTCATTTTCGGATGAACGAATTTCGGGTTGGTCGTGGGTATGACGTCGAGCGCAATCGACTTATCGTGTGTCAATTTTCTGGTGGAATGTTTCTTCGCCTGTTTCTTAACGTGCACGTTAACCGTCAGGTAGTCCAGACGACAGCCATTCCGTTGTCCTGCCGTCTTCTCGTTCTTGGTATTTACAGTAGTGGTCGCCTCGTTGCTCTGTGTCTGTTCACTGGTACCGTTCGAAACTGGTGTTTGTACTCTGTACAACGGCTCAGACACGGTGGACGACAAAGCCGAAGAGACGATGCTCTGATTGTCGTCCGTGGTATCGCTAGGAACATCCTCCAACACCGACTGTGTCTGAGGTACGATCGTGCTCGTCGAGTCGTTCAACAGCGGCAATTTTTCACCCACGTCTTTCGCCTCCGCCGCCCTCTTCACAACGCTGAATATTTCGCTGAATATCTGCCTGTACTCGGGCGTCTTTCGGAACCTGCTTTCAAACGGGCTGTTGTCGTCATAAATGCTGAACTTGCAGTCTTCGCCGTCGGCCAGGGAGCACAGCAACGAACCAGGTCTTCCGTCGGTCTGCGTCGCTTTGTTGCTCGTTTCGTCAGAGAAACCAGAAGACAACGTCTCCGCCTCGGAGAAATCTGTCGGGGTAGCGGAAAACGGTTTCTTACCGCATCCTTCAGCTTTGGTGCGAGTGCCGTTCGCGACTGTGGATTTCGTCGACTCTTGTTGTAATTCTGTCTCCGATGTGGAGTTTTGGAAGCTGTTGAACTCGCCGGACATCTCGAGCTCCTCTTGCAATGACATGCATGGTGTAGGCAAGTTGTCCTTGCGACGGGGTGCGGAACGCCTTTGTACCTCCAGCAGGGCTTGGTACTTTTCCACTAGAACTCGGTACGGATTGCTTAGGTCGTTCGCTGGTACCTCTTTCTCGTTCAGATCCTGTAAGCAAGATGTTTACTTTGTACCTAATGGTTGACAAATTTATCTTTTTTTGTGGAATTGATTATTTGAGAATTTGGTAATTTTGGAATTAAAATTTGGAAAAATTAGAAAATTTGGAATTTTGGGAATTTTAGAATTTGGGAAATTCTAAATTTGGGGATTTGGAAATTTGGGAGAACTAGAATTTGGAACTTGAGAATTTGAAGATTTTAGAATTTGGGGTTTTAGAATTTGGGGATTTTAGAATTTGGGAATTTAGAATTTGGGAAATTCTAAATTTGTGGATTTGGAAATTTGGAAGAACTAGAATTTGGAACTTGAGAATTTGAGGATTTTTAGAATTTAGGGATTTTAGAATTAGAGGATTTAGAATTTGGGGATTTGGAAATTTGGAAGAACTAAAGTTTAGGGATTTTAGAAAATTGGAAATTTAGAATTTGGAGATTTAGAAATTTTGGAAATTTAAAGACTTATAATTTTTTAAATTTTGGAAATTTAAAACTGAAAACTTGAAAATTTAGAATTTGGAAATTAGAGGAATTTAAAATTTGAGAATTGAAAATTTAGAATTTTGAGATTTAGAAATATGGAAAATTTAAAATTGAGGACTAGAAAATTTAAAATTTGGAAATTTGAGGAATTAAAAATTTGGGAATTGGAAATCCCAAAATATGGAAACTGCCAAATTTGAGAAAACATCTAAATTTTATAATTCACAAAAAGAGCATTATATAAAAAAAATTGTAATTTTGTTAGTAAACGAGCATAAAATGCTTCGAAATGTTTTAAAAATAGAGCACTGAGTGAAATTGGTGATGCAACTAAGTCACGCGAGGTATAATTTATTCAATAATCTGTTTTGCAAGTGTAATACAAATTTCAGCTCGAACGAATATCAAGAAAGTAAAACGAAAAGGATAATCGGAAGGTGAAGGAAACGCCAGATTTATAGGACGTTAAATAAAAGAAACGACTGTTCGTTGGAAAAAATATGTTTTATTTAAAATCATATAAATCTGGCACTTACATTGTACAACATAATTTTAACAAATACTTCGACTAGATATACTAACAATATTCAGTCATGCTTAACGTCGAACGAACAACATCGAAAAAAGAATAAACACGATAAGAGGAGCAAACTTAATTCTAAAAAGAAAAATAAGCAGCATCACCAAATTCAACCGTTTCAATTTCATGGTTAAACTTATATTCTAATTCGTTTTAACACAGTCTTCTCGTTCTTTGGAAACCCAATCATTTTTTTATATTTTTATCAATTCTATATACAAATTGAAATGGAACCCCTTATTACCATAAGCATGTTTAAAAAACCATGTTGTTCAATTCTCAATAACTTATGATAAATGTAAGTGCTCAGTTTTCCTTTCGTTTTACCTACACCTTATTTTAACCAACATTTTATCGCTAACCAGTCTTAACGAAATATTTACTATTCGTCTAACTATACTTTCGTTTCTTCAGTAGCTAACATCTCAAATTACCTGTTGACGTTTCTAAGTTATGAATTAAGAGCAGTCTACACATTCAACTAGAAAGAATTCGCAGAATAGAAACTGAAAAATTATAAAGTAGAAACTATAACTATAATACAATTTGATGCTGTTCTAATTAAAAAATTTTCTCTTGTAATAAATACTGTCAATTATGTTTTTGATACCGTTAGTCATCGATGAATAACGCAATGTTTTGAACGTTGATTCTGTAAAAATTGTCGAATGTGCTTTTTCTGTTAGTACTTCGTCAAAGAACAAAGTAAAGAAATTCTTTTGTGTCATATTTCTGTTCGCTATGAGATTCTAAGGAACATTTTACTACGATATACATATTACAGAGTAAAACATACTCCTTTCAATTACTAGTTAACCTGTTCGCAACGGATCTTTTGGCATATTTACAGTGTCGACTGGGTTAGACGAGCGAAGCGAGTTACGTAGTTTGGTACGCCATTTTAAGAGGGCGCCACTATCAAGAAATTTTATATTTGTGATATACTTGGATTTGGGAAATTGGAATAAGGATCTGGGTTTTTGGAAATTTTGGTACTGAGAATTTAGAAATTTGGAAATTTTGGGAACTGGAAATTTGAGAATATGAAAATTCAGGAATTTGGAAATTTGAGAATATGGAAATTCAGGAATTTGGAAATTTGAGAATATGGGAGTTTAGGAATTTGGTAATTTTGGGAACTGGAAGTTTGAGAATATGGCTATTTAGGAATTTGGAGATTTTGGGAACTGGACATTTGTGAATATAGAAATTTTGGGTGCTGGAAATTTGAAAATATGGGAATTTAGGAATTTGGGAATTTGAGAACTGGACAGTTGAGAAAATAGAAATTTTGTGAACAGGAGATTTGAGAATTTGAAAATTATGGATACTGGGAGTTTGAGAACATAGGAATTTAGAAATATTCAATACTCGATTCAACATTCAATTTAGGAATTTGGGCAATCTAAGCATCTGGTGTTTGGAAATTTAGAACTAAAAACTTTAAGAATTTAAGAACTTCTAAAGTAGAAATTTAAGAACTGAGAATCTGAAGATTTGATGATCTGAAAATTAGAAATATGAGAATTGAGGATTCATGAATTTATAATTATATACTGTTAGAAATTAAAAAACTTGGAAATATGGGTTTCTGTAGGTTCAGGAATTTGCAGGATTTGAATTGAAAAATTACTACTTTAATAGTATTAACAATATATACTGAGATTCCTTTCACATTACTTAAATAAACATACTATAGTAAAAACCAGTCTATAAGAAATAAATATTTTCAGTTTACGTCAACATATCATACCAGAAAAGCTCAGCTAATAAAAATCAATACAATAAATTTAAATTCTGCTTCGATTCAAATAAATATTAAACTTAAATGTAGAAAAATGAAAGAAATGTTGATACTCTTAGTTGGATCCACATATACATTTTGCAACACCGAAAAACCAGCGGTGTCGATTTCAAACACAGGTTGTATGTGGGTAATAAGTATAGAGTACCTTACAACGAAAGGTTACTGTTTATTATATGATCGCAATCTTTAATATTCGAAATACTTCGAAAGAAACGCTATATTTCTGTGTCTACTAAACCGTTGCAAACAGGTTAGAAAAGTTACTATAGTCTCTGGTCATCCTAATTATTTAATACTTATAATAATTTTTTACTATCCTTCAGCGACAACATCTTTCTCAAAATAAATATCGGTATTCGGAATGGTTTCAATAAGAACGGTATAATGCATTCGTTCTTTATATAGCATATCGTATGAAAGAAAATAAGAATCAACGACGGTGTTTTCCATATAGACGCGAAAGTTGTCCACAATATGGAACGAAACTGTTTAGTCTCTTTTTTTGCCATGGATTGCTTTACGTTTGTTGCGAGTGTCTCCTAGAGCAAATAAAACTTTGTTACTTCTGAAACGAAATCCCTGTGGAACCCTTACAAATAATAGGTTGTTGCATATTAAATGGCCGACTTTGAACCGAACAAATTTTTCAGAAAAACTCTATAATCGAACCCGTAAAACAGTTACAATTTGAAGATTGATGCTAGAATAACTAACCTGTCAAAATGGCAGATTTCTAAATTTTTTATTTTACAGATTCATTATTTCAAGTTACCATCTAACTTTACGTTCCCTTTTATACCATCTATTTATTTTTGCTAACACGCGTTTCAATTAATTAGTATTATTGCCAATAAAATAACTGTTAAACGTGATGCGAATACATTCACCATTTTATCTGCGACAACCTAATACTATCATACACGCTACACCGTCAACATTTTGTTTGAATTGTACAGGATATCCTGTATAACTGGTACAACCGACAGCATATTTAGTCTACGTGCAAAAATATGAAAGATAATTTTCTAGTAAGAGGTTTTGTTTTGTAGAAAACAAAATGTATAAGTCAAACGGAATTTAAGATTATTTAATACTATCGTGATTATCTAATAATACCTTAAAACACATTTTTCAGAAATGAACTTTGAGAACTCGTAAAACTACTCGAACGTAAACATAGAGATAGAAATTTCAATTGGGATTTAGCGTGCTAGATCAAGGTCGCAAAATGTATTTCATAGATTCACAAATTTTTTGTACACCTTCGCTTTATTGCAGTCGCGTTGCACCTTAATTTTCTTGAAAACGAAGCCTCTTGTAACAAAATTTTATTTTGTGTTTTTTATTCATGTTTGTACGTGGAATTTGCACTCTCAACGGGACACCCTGTACTGTATAGGTTGCTATATAAATTCTGTCCATTAATCTTTTTATATATAGAAAATTCAGTTATGAATTATTTTATTTTAATGATAACAATTATGTACGTAGTTCAATATTCGAATGATATTTTCCGAGAATATTATCACAGGACAAAACTTACAAAGCAACTGAACATTCATTAAAAAAACAGAAACCGTATGGAACAAAAGATAAGCAGAAAGTCTACCATCTAAAGCAAATTTCAAGAGCAGAGAGAATGTATCGTGCACCCTGAAATAAATTTTGTATAAAAAATTAATTACCTGTATGATTGGCTCTGGTTCCCGTTGGCTCTCATTGATTAGCGACTCTGCTATGCTAATGTCATCGTACTCTTCTTGGTTCAACATTATAGAGAGTTCATCGTGTGCTTTGGAGTCCATTCCTCGCAAACATCGACCGCATAGTTGACCCCGTCTATGAACACACCAATAACAATAATAAAAAATTTATAAAATGTTTATTAAAGTGAGAGTTCATTATACTGAAGAAGAAATACAAATAATTTAAATAACAAATGTTAACTTTCTGTAACCTTGGAAAGAAAGAATACTTATAACATCTTTTTACAAGCGATTTGTTATAAATAATAATAAGTAGCAAGTTTATATTTTAATTATCTATGGAAATTTATTTATCTTGTATAATTTATGTGTACCATGTGATAAAATCTGTAGTATAAACCACTGGCACACACAGTACATGCAATGATAAAATGAAGAAGGAGATAAAGAGATTAGAAGATAAAGATAAAGTGTCTATCTCTTTTATCTTAATCATTATTTAAATAACTGATGATCTCAATAACACCCAACTCTGTTCAAAACAGAACAGAGTAGATTGATACATACCTTACTTCTTCGAGCATGTTTATTTCTTCTTGAAGATTTTTCACATCTTGCTCTGTACAGCGCAAACCATTTAATTGTTCCTCTAAGGCACTGTATCCTTGTGTCAGGAACGCCACCTGCTGTTTAAGTTCTGTGTTTTTCTTCTGTTCCCTGGCTATTTGGTTTCGAGCTTCTTGTAATTGCCTTAACAATTCTGTTAATTCTTCCTCACTTGTCCCTCCTGTTATCGATTGTCGTATACTTGAGTCTGTGATTGCATCTTGGAAAGGTTTTTGGCTAGATGGGGCAGCGCTCTGGAAAATGGTTTATTCAATGCATTAACTGAACAATTAATTGATGCAGTTTTGCAATTTTTCTTAACTTTTTACTGAGCTATTTATATCTTGTTCATCTTTATATAAAATACATATATAATTTTGCATGAAATTTTGAATAATGTTATTGTTTCATTATTTATATTTTTACATACTTATTAGAATGGCCATATTGAAGTTTAACAAATAGTTTTGTAAATAATGCAACCTCTGTATAACAACTTTACATAGTTCAGAATATAAATAGTAGGTTTAACTGTGGTGGAATCAAATCTGACCTAATTACAAACTCAACAATGTGATTAATGTGAACATCCTATATTTTTATAAATGTAATTAGAAACTGCCTGGCGACACTAATACTTTTCTTAAGAATGAAATCAAGATTATCCAGTTTCTGACAATTGAAAATTACAAATGAATAATGTATTCACTATTAAAAAATGTTTTGAAAGAAACCAGAACAGATCTCGTTAGATCACACAAGATGAATGGAAATAGAAATTCTATAGCAAAGCTGTCAGTGTTTTTCCGATGAAATCGAGATTTTCCGCAGTCGGTGGTTTAGTGGCTAAACGAAATAACCGATAATTATCGAACTTATCTAAGATCACATGAATATTAATACCTGTTGTATGCTGCCACCCGGCGTGACCGATGCTTTCCACAGAGCGGTTTGTGTTTGTGCGGTGTTCGTCGATTGCCCCGCACTTTGCTGCCGGAGTAGACTTTCATGTTTCTCGTTTATCTCGTCGATTTTCTTCTGGAATTCTTCGCAACGTGCTTCCAAATTTTCGATCGTCAAACACTGACTGTTAACAAATCATACAAACATTTGTTAAACACTTACTATTTCCTTTCACACAAATAACACAAGTTCAAATGGACATACCTTTTAATAAGCTTCTTGTCGCTCGTCTTTTCTATTACTAAACGGTGATTGGCGCGTTCCAAGTTCTGGATGCTAACTTCAAGTTGTTCGTAGATCTTCAGCCGCGAATCGTTTACTTCCCTCAAGGCAGCTATTTGCTTTTTCATATACTGAAAATTATACATCGCGTTTAAAAGAATGAACCATCATCGTTAGCGATACACTGGATTTATTTCTGAATTACCTCTATTTCTTGTGCTTGCTCCTCGATCGTGGTTTGTTGTGCTTTGACGATGTTCTCTAATTCTTTATTTCGCTCCAAGAGTGTTTTACCGAGTTCTGCCGCCAATTGTAAATCTGAAATAAAGTTTTAGTAAATTAGACAAGTAATCATTGTAACATTAAAGTTTGGTGAAAAATATCGCTGTAGAGTTGATTTTTGTTTCAAACGTGTTTAAATAATTAAAATAAAAACAGAAAGTACAGTAAAATTTTCTACCGTTAAATATTACGATAAAATTTTTTTATTCGAGTTCAACCATTTGAAACTATGTCGTAATGACTGTTCGATATAGCTATCAAAGAGATAAATGTAAATATAATGATAAGCAGAAAATAGTGTGTGGAAACAAAAATTTGGTAAATTTATATTTAAATCGGTTCTGTGTCACCTGGAATGTTTACGAAATAATTTGAAAGGTTATAACGGCCAATTCAAATTATCGTAAAAGTTTTAAAAGCATAATTAAAAGTTCTAGAATAAGAATTTTTAACAGGTCGACATACTTTTTGCATATAAATTCGTTTATCGGTAGAGACGTAATAAATTTTCGACAATTTAAGCAATTTTTTTAAGAAAATTATTAACGACGAAACTGCAGAGATTTAAAATACTTTAATTTATGAAAAGTGTTATTTGCTTATCGTCCAAAGTGGGCTCTGATTTAAAATGTACATAATTATATTGAACGAACTCGACTTTGACACTGAATATATTAAACATAATTGTGTACGTGTGGTATAAACATAATTGTCTGATTTCACCTTTCGAGCATTTTCGAACGATATTTCGAACTTTATTTCGTCTGGTTCTGAACATCATTTATTCATTTGGTTCAGATCTAAATTGAAATATTTAAATTTCTGCATTTTTAAATTTTTGGATTCTCAATTTTTCCAATTTTCAAATTTCTAAATTTCCAAATTTCAAAGACTTAAACTTTCTAATTTGCAATTTTTCTAATTTTTAAATTTTCGGGTTCTCAATTTTTCCAATTTCCAAATTCTCAAAGACTTAAATTTTCTAATTCCCCATTTTTCTAATTTTTAAATTTCGAAATTTTCATATTTTTTAATTTCTAATTTTCTAAATATCTAAATTTTCCATTTTAAAAATTTTCAAATTCCCAAAATTCCAAATTGCAAATTTAAATTTCTCTTATTTCACACATGTGTTCTACAATTTTGTAGAATCATTAAATTTCAATTGTTGTAAATTCTTATAAATAATATTTAAATTTAAAAAAAAAATATGTATAAAAAGACTGTAAATAACGAAGAAATTTGATATTTCCATATTCGATTTTACCTTTTTCGCAATTATGGTATAACAGCTCGAAGAAAGATTATTTTGTATTTAATGTTTGTATATCTTTCACTGGAATGACAGATTAACTCGTTTTTCCCGGTTAGCAGGTTAAGAATGCAACGAATTAAATTCACGGTACGAAGGAAACAACTCTTCCTCGTAACAAATTATATAAGCTTTTACGTTACCAGTCAATGCTTGAATCTTAGCACACATTAAAAGTAGAACAAATATGATAGAACATTAATATCGCATTACGCGTGGTATTTTAAATATGCGTATTCACGAACTATGTATGGAATGTTCTAATTTCTTTCATGAATTTTCGAACAATTCAATCATTTTGATATTTGTTAATAATTTTTCGAACTTTTAAATTTTTGTAGTTTTATTATATTTCAATTTTTAAACAATGAAAGGCGGGAACAATTTAAATTTAATTTTATACTATCTTATTATATATTATTTTTTTAAAGATATATGAGACATGTGTTTAAACATTTTTAAAAATATTTGTTTTAAGTGAATGAAAATTTCTACAGTATTTCATATTTTGTATAGTATGTAATATTCGACATTAATTTATTAGTTATTTATGTAGTTAGTTTATATAGTTATTTAATCATAACGATTTTTAATATAAATATGTAATTTATATTATCCCTTAGACCATAGATAATTATTAAAAATCGTTATGATTAAATAACTATACAACTACATATTTAAATTTATGTATTTAGAAAATTCGACAGCGGTAATTTAACTCATTTGCCTCTTTCTTATTCAAACTCTTATAATCGACAGTAAAAATCAAGGAATTTTACAACATTCAGTTTTAGATTCAATTTTGGATCACATTTAAACAATTACTGTAAACACTGTTAGAATTAGCATCGTATAAACAAAAGACATTGCAATTTGCAAAAATGTCGAAGTTTAACCAACATTCGAAGGATGTTCGATAATTCAAACACTATCATACGTCAATACTTTTCAAATTTCCAAAATGTCAATAATTTTGGTCTAACAATTTGTTCACACTATTACAATTAATAGCCTACAAGTAATTAATGTTCACGGAACTTCTAAAAATCAGATCCAGTTTTAAATGATACGCAAAATGAAAAAACACTCATCACTTCAAGTAAAAAAAGATTGTTAAATATTCATAAAACTCTATTATTCAGCACTAAATTGATCACAATGCTAGTTCCCATATTAAACACCTATTGAATTATTAATATAAAACAACCAGTAAAATTATCAAGATATTCAAATTTGATGAATTTTCAAATTTAAATTGAACTTTTCGCAATATTCGAAATGAACGAAAACTTCACAATTGTTATATTATACACTAATATAAAATGATTAATACTCCACAAGCGAAAGATCAAGATCATCGAAGATCAAACTGAAAGCCAACTGTTCACAATATTTAAATCAAACAAAAACTTCATCTCCAAACATTAAATTCATCATGATGGTCTGTATCAAGTACCTACATAATTACTATAATGTATAATCAAGACGATTATCGAGAAACTACTAATTTAAAATTCAACTTGTGATATTGAAATCGAACAAAAACTCCATAACGAATCACTAAACTTTACCTACTAATGTAAGGCGTATAATTAGTACCCCATAAACGAAATACCAAGATTATCAAACTTCCAAGTTAAAATTCACCTTAGAATATTCAAATCGAACGAAACCGTAACTAATGACCGAATACCTACTAATATAAGGTGTATAATTAATATCTCATAAGTAGACCATTAAAATAGTCAGAGTTCCAATTCAACTTCTTTTCATAATCAAACAAAAATTTTATTATTCGTCGCTAAATAGCTGCAAGCTGAAGATTATACTTCGAAGTACATATTCAACTGATGATGTTAAAAGTGGAGGAAAATTGATCAAATACTTGTATGACTAATATAAGCCATAAGCAAAATATGATCAAACTTATAATTTCAAATCTAACTGACTTTAAGTCTGATCATCAAATACCTTCATGAGTATTTATTAATATACACAAGCATAATCCATCCACAAAATATCAATATTAACAAATTCCAAACTTCGAATACGACTGATAATTTTAACTGAAAGAAAGCTTCATAACTAATCACTACATATCTATACGATTAAGAAGCTCAAAATTACCAAACTCAACTTCGAATCCAACTGATGTTAACCGAACGAAAACTCCATAACTGATCACCACATATCTACATGATTAATACAAGTTTATAACCGATACTCCATTAGTAAAATACCAAAATGCCTAAATTCGTAACTTCAAACTTGGGAATGTTAACTGAACGAAAACTCCATAACTGATCACCACATACCTGTACGATTATGTACTAATATAAGAACCCATGCGTAGAAGCTCAAAATTACCAAACTCAACTTCGAATCCAACTGACGATTAACCGAACGAAAACCCCATAACTGATCACCAAATGCCTACACGACTACCGGTTTATAATCGACAACCCATCAGCAAAATACCAAGATCCTAAATTTCAAACTTGACAATGTAAACCGAACGAGAACTCCATAACTGATAACCAAATGCCTACGTGACTAATACAAGTTCATAACCGATACCCCATCAGTAAAATACCAAGATCCTAAATTTTTAACTTCAAATCTGACAAAGTAAACCGAACGAAAACTCAATAACTGATCACTAAATACCTACACGACTACAAGCTGATAACCGACATCACTAAAATACCAAAATGCCTAAATTTGTAACTTTAAACCTGACAACGTCCATAACAAATCACCAAACTCTGTAGAAACGCAACGAGTTTCAGCTGTACCTTCAGGTCCTTGAAGACACGAGAGTTCAATGGAGTAATCCCAACAATCCAAAGAATTCATCTGCGTCTGTGGGTCCCAGACGACGTCCACGCTAGGGCCGCTCATCTTTCCGCGGCCAGAATTCAAGAACTTTCTTGCAGTGTTCACTCTCGATCACTAAACCCCGTGGTTTCAATCGAACTACGCAAACGAACACGGAAGATTTGGACTCGGCGAGAGGTCGGCCATTCAGGTGACACGGTTCGGTGTACGATGATACTGTTGTACACGTAGAAGTCAGGTTATCGACCACAAGCAACCGGTTCCACCGAAGGTAGCCGGTCTTCTGTGAATCGCTGGTTAGCCGTGGAACGCGTGCAGGCCCAAACCTCGAATGCCCATCCACTACCGACAGAAGTCTCTCTCTCCTTCCTACTCCTTCTTTTACCTATGCTCCCCTTCTACCGACCGACACCCCCCTTTTCTATCCTTCTCTCTGTTGTTCCCGTGTTTCACCTGGTGCAATTCCTTTTCAGACACTGGTGTGAGAATTCCTTCTTACCTGCCTCCCGCGGCTACTCTCACTCTGCCCCCTACTTCTTCTTCTTCTTTATTCCCCTACTCGTGCGTGCCTTCCACGGGATACACCTTCGAATACACGTGCAAAACTTCTCTGTCCCACTTTTGGTGTGTACGTACTTTTCTTTCGAACGACGCGTATGGGAATCGTTACGTTACACGCTATCGGTCATTTTACGCTCTCTAATGAGCTTACGAATGATTACGTTTTGATATATGTGGTATGTGGGTGGTTTGGGAGGTGGTGATGCGGGGGATGGCTGAGTAATGAGGGATTGGGTGGGGAAATCTTTGAAAATGTGGGATAAGGTTTTCAAGGTGGGTGTGGGAAGCTTTAGAGGTTCTTCATTTGTTTGCAAGTTTTTTTAATCATTGGGAATTAAATTTGGGAATTTCAGATACATAAATTATGAAGACCTTATTTTTAAATTATGAGATTCATTTATTTTTAATTTTGACTGAATATTTAATATTTAGTACTTTGCACGAATTCTAGCGATATTTAATAATTTTCTTAAAATAATACTACAGTTCCTGGCATTCTCCTTCGTGTTATCAATTTTTTAAAAGAATACAAGCCTCAAAGTCATTCTCCCTAATATTATTATTAGGGAGAATTTTGTAAAGAAACATTACAGTCACTGATGTAATCCTTCTCTACATCGCCATTTTATTAGAAGAACATTACAATCCCTAATGTTGTCCTCTCCTATAGTACATTTCCTCTAAAAAACACTACAGCCTCTAATGTTACTATGTCCGCGTTACCATGTCCTCAGAAGAATACTACCACCTCCAATGCCCCCTCTTCTAGCTCACCATTTTGTCAAAAGAACACTACAATGATTAATGTAACTCTTTGCTGCACCGTCATTTTTTCTCTTCATATCACCCTTCCCTACACCATCTTTTTCTGTATAGAACCCTACAATCCTTAATGTCACCCTTCCGCGCATCGTCATTTCCTATATAGAAACCTATAATCCTGAATGTCTTTTCTGTATCATCAATTTCTTATAAGACCATACAATCCTTGATGTCACCCTTCCCTACCACCACCATTTTCCTATAAAATCGTACAATCCTTAATGTCACCCGTTCCTGATACCACCATTTTCTTACAACCCCCCTCTATCCCTAATGTCACCCTTCCTGATACCACCATTTTATTACAAACCCCCTCTATCCCTAATGTCACCCTTCCTGACACCAGCATTTTCTTACAACCCCCTCTATCCCTAATGTCACCCTTCCTGACACCACCATTTTCTTACAACCCCCCTCTATCCCTAATGTCACCCTTCCTGACACCACCATTTTCCTATAAAACCGTGCAATCTCTAATATCACCCTTTTCTTACACCACCATTTCCTCTATAGAACCTCTACACACCCCACCCTTCTCACCAGCCCTTCTGTCCACCCCACCCTCCCTACCACCCCTTCTGCCCATTCCACCCTTCTGCTCAACCCACCCTCCTGTCCATTCCACCCTTCTACCCACCCCTAAATCTCCCCAAAACGCAACTAACCTAACAATCGCAATAATTCGAAAGGAGAGCTCCTGTTTCCCGCGAAATCTCATCCCCGGTAATCGTGTAAACCGCTTCCTCGTGGTATTTCGATCGAAATAACCCCAAGCGACCTCCAGCCGAGAAATATACTTTCTCTTGGGAATGCCCTGCGAAACGTTATTAATCTCTTCATCGATCGAAACAAAAGAGAGGAGGCTATTGTTGGCTCCGTGTTTGTGAAGGTGTAGTAAAATTCTGCGGGGTTTACGTGTGTACGACGCTAACCTTTCGAGAGCGTCGAGTGCAAAGCGTGAAACCGCTTTGAAGATATTACCGACATTAACTGGGGTATGCAGCGTCAGCTAACTGGATCATTATCGTTCCACCACGCCCTGCAACAGCGTGCCAGTATTTTGTAAAGCAACAAACGAAACTCAGCGTACCGTAACTTGCGCTAAAATGTAATTTCACACTTTGCGTGTTCGGGGTGGTAACTGTGGGAATTCCTTGTTAGATTTGAATATAGATTCAATGCATATTTAGCGTTTTTGTGGTACAGATTTTTGGTGGTTTTTAACCCCTGCGAGTGGGTGCGTCAGGTGCAATAAACTGTTATGATGCTGAGAGGATGAAGAAAGTTTCAACCCTTTGTATTTTTATGTTCAGTATGGCTCGGCATCACATTTCTCTTGGATCTTATAAATAATTCATTGTCAGATAAATAGATTGGTTAAATATATATATTTTCATTTATTTACTATTTATAATGTATGGAAAATGTATGTGTCACGTACTCCATGCTGTTGATAGACATTTTATTGAGAAATTTTTTATCTAGTTTGCAAATGAAGGAGTTGATAGGTAAATAGAAATTAACGAGTGCGAAGTTTTAATGTTTTGAACGCTTTCTAGTTAGGGACCCTTCATTATGCAAATTGTGATCAGATTTGAATTAGGAATTCAAGATAAAAATATGAGAATTTATGGTACATGAACTGTCCGTCATAAGAGTAGCTTGATATTGTAATACGCATTGTTTTACACGACATTGTAAAATACGTACTTAATCAGTTGTTTAGTGATATAGGTGGATGGTCTTTAACCCTTTAAACTATGATTCAGTGGGTGCGTTTGATGTAATAAACTATTAACTGTTCTAGTATTGAAAGGTTTCAACGTTGTGAAGGTTTACTACTTACAGACTCTTCATCATGCAAATTATAATTGGATATAAATTGGAAATTCAAGATAAAAATATGAAAAAAGTTTGAAGTACTTGAACTGCAAGGGCACGTGTATGTGTTATTATGGTGCAGGGGTTAATACTTAGGCATTATCGTCATAATTTATAGGTGGATGGTTTTGAACCCTTTGAACTATGATTTAGTGAGCGTCGGATGAAATAAACTATTAACTGTTGGAATGTTGTACTTTAGAATTTCAGTGTTTTGGAGATTTGGAATTTTACAATCTCAGAATAGTGGAGCTTTGAAATTAAAAAATTTGAAGATTACAATATACAGGAATGCAAAAATCCTCAAATCTCAAAATATCCATATCCTCAAGTGTCCATCTTCTTCAACCTTTAAATCTCCGAATTTCAGACCTCAAATTCCACTTAATCAGAATATTAATTATACCAAATTCCAATGTCATCAAATCTTAATATTCTCAAATTCCAATATTTCCAAGTTCCGATATTTCCAAATTCTAATATTTCCGAATTGCGATATTTCCAAATTCTAATATTCCCAAATTCTAATATTCCCAAATTCTAATATTCCCAAATTCTAATATTCTCAAATTCCAATACTCCCAAATTCCAATATTCCCAAATTCCAATATTTCCAAATTCCAATATTTCCAAATTCTAATATTCCCAAATTCTAATATTCCCAAATTCCAATATTCTCAAATATCAATATCTCCAAATCCCAATATTCCCAATTCCCAATATCCCCAAATTCCCAAAACCCCAAAACCTCCAATTCCCAAATCCCCAAATCCCCAAAACCTCCAATTTCCAAATCCCCAAATCCCCAAATCCCCAAATCCCCAAATCCCCAAAACCTCCAATTTCCAAATCCCCAAATTCCCAAATCCCCAAAACTTCCAATTTCCAAATCCCCAAATTCCCAAATCCCCAAATCCTCAAATCCCAAATCCCCAAATCCTAAAATCTCAAACCCGTAAAAACTAAAAAATTCTCAAAACCCCCAACCAGTATCCAAATCATCCCAATCACGACAGCCCACAAATAAAGTCACCATCCATAGTAAAAGGTAACTAGAATGCCAACGTTATCGAGGAAGTAATTTACTCGATCCTTTTTGCCATAAAGCAAAAGCATTAATTGCTTCTGTCGAATCAGCGGTTACCGATAAAAATGTTAAGGTCAAGTGTGCTCGCAATTTATATATCCTTTCAATTTGCTTTCACTTGATTTTATACGATGTTACCGTGATTGTTCTTGCGATCATTTCAATCATTCTTCTTACCCTAGTTCGTATATATTTCTAGCACCTCTCGCATACTTTTCGTTACAATAAAACAACCGATACTGCAACGTAAATTTCTTTACCTCAATTTCTATCGTGTTCATACGTTTTGTTCCTTGCTGCAGCTTTGATAGGTAGGTACAAGTTCAACACCGTTAGCTTGTTACTATGTTGCCAATGATATGTAATCGATGAACTGTTATGGTAACCATAGATTTCTTCGAACAGTAAATTTGTACGATCTAATCGAATGACGAGTTTTTAGAAGTTTTAAAATTGGTTCAATGACATACTTCTTTTGCTTTGAAAGACATTGGTTCAAAGTAATTGTCTCCCTTATGTGATGTCCTAATGAAGAGTTAAAATGTATTTACCTTTTGCAGATTTAAGTGAATTATGCTCATGTTGAGAACTTCATTAAAATCAGTACTTTCTAAAAGAAGTTTCAAATAGCTTGTAGTAATTTTAACAAGAAATGACTTCATTTAAAAAGGTCTAGCACTTCTTTTTTTTGAAAGAATTTGGTTCAAAGTAATTGTCTCCCTATGTGATGTCCTAATGAAGATTTAAAATGTATTTTGCTTTTGTAGATTTAAGTGAATTATGCTCACGTTGAGAACTTCATTAAAATCAGTATTTTCTAAAAGAAGTTTCAAATAGCTTGTTGTATTTTTAACAAAAAATGACTTCATTTAAAAAGGTCTAGCACTTCTTTTTTTTGAAAGAATTTGGTTCAAAGTAATTGTCTCCCTATGTGATGTCCTAATGAAGATTTAAAATGTATTTAGCTTTTGTAAATTTAAGCAAATTATACAGACATTGACAACTTTATTAAAATCAGTATTTTCGAAAAGAAGTTTCAAATAGCTTGTTGTAATTTTAAAAGAAAATGACTCCATTTGAACAAGTCTAGTATAATTTTTGTATCAGCTGTAGATAAAGTACTGTCAGGAAGACCAAAGAAATTAGTAGTTCTCGATAATTACATATCAACTAGCACCTTATTAACCTATATACCATGTTTTGTCGACTTTTCAAGACTAACAGGCTGTTGAACGAGTTTCATCCATTTCAAGCCTTTCAACGTTAATAGTACGATTATTTGGAAAGTTATTGTCGGTTGAACACTGCAGCTGATTGCACGTAACGCATCAAGGTATAATGCATAAAGATCCGCGGTCCAGCGACTGGCAGTCGAAAGTATCCGTATCAAGGCTTTCCTCAGCGGAGACCGTTTTTCTTACACCGTTAAGTCGAATGCTGATCGGTTGTTGCGGATGTACATGAAAATAAACAATAATGGAGAGGAGAACGGAGACCTATGGAATTTATGGTGCGAGCATCTTCGGGAGAAATGCGCCTAGAACGTCGCTCGTATGCTTTATGCGCCAACCGGCACAATGATGGGAACCTAGCCCACGTATTTCTACGGTTCGCCGATGGTTCATTTGAGCCGGTGGCAAACTTTTTGCACGACTCTCTATTTTAACGAGAACGGAACATCGGGGCACGATTCACTTTGTGAAATGCTCGGACAGACTGTTGGAGCTTACGTGAACCGTAATCGACATCGTTAGCGGTGAAAACTTTCGAGATGACTCGCGTTATATCGCCATGTGTTAATTATCTGTGCGGTATATTGCGACGTACTGAATATTTATGGGTTCTGTTACTTTGTGTTATGAAGCTACGCGTTCTTTGTTGCCTCGCGTTATATCGCCACGCATTATATCACCTCGCGTTAAATACTGATACGTTGTATTACAACACGTTATGTAGCAATGCGTTGTATTACTACGCATTCTATTGCCACGTGTTATATCGCCACGCATTATATCACCTCGCGTTAAATACTGATACGTTGTATTACAACACGTTATGTAGCAATGCGTTGTATTACTACGCATTCTATTGCCACGTGTTATATCGCCACGCATTATATCACCTCGCGTTAAATACTGATGCGTTGTATTACAGCACGTTATATAGCAATACGTTGTATTACTACGCATTCTATTGCCACGTGTTATATCGCCACGCATTATATCACCTCGCGGTAAATACTAATGCGTTGTACTACTACACGTTAGCAATGCGTTGTATTACTACGCATTCTATTGCCATGTGTTATATCGCCACGCATTATATCACCTCGCGTTAAATACTCATGCGTTGTATTACAACTTACAACACGTTATGTAGCAATGCGTTGTATTACTACGCATTCTATTGCCACGTGTTATATCGCCACATGCGTAACTGTCACATATTATACGACCATGCGTTAGGAATCTATGCGTTGTAAACATGATACTTAAGAATTTGAAAATTTTACAATTTTGCAATTTTCAGGGTTTGGAAATTATATCGATAGTCACTCTTTTAAAGTGCATTTGGAATACGAGGATCATCTGTATTCTACAAATGCACTATAAAACGTGAGTATAATTTTTCCCAGTAATATGCGTTCTTTATGATTCAAGAAAATTTTCCATGAAAACATTTTGCGCAAAGGAACCGGTAAAACAAAATATTATGAAGGTATTGTGAATGTTCGAAACAAAATAATAACAGATAATAAAATTTATAAGTCTTCGTGTCAACAATTTAAAGGTCCGAGATTAAATTCAGAGTGTTTCAATCAGTTTTGTATTAATTCTAAATAAAGAAGAGAAGACACCAACGTATTTCTGAAATTGAACCAGTTCAATCTCCACTAATTACAAGCTCGCAGTTCATGCCTCTGCAGTCTTCTCAGAACAGTTCAATGTGTTTCAACATTATTTCTTAATAACCAGCGGAGAAACAGAACGTAATCTTACGTTTCATTCATGAACGAGAGATGCGAGAGTATTGCACTTATTCCTTCTTCGAGATCGGTTTCTTCTCACGAACCAGAAATCGTAAAAACAATACACAATTACGGCTATCTGATGCATTCCGTGAAAAGCGTTAATATTCCGTAGCAAGTACGCGTTATAAATACATAATACGACGTCACAGATACATTACAAATTGATGTAGCAATTAACTCGTTTAGGTTCAATAGCCTTAGGAAAAATACCATTTTGAATGAACTAGTTTCCATAACGCAATATGTACTCATTTTTTCGTTGTCTCATTAAACTTCTTTCAAATTACAAAATTCACTACTTTTCTTTTTTTATGTTATAACAATTCAAGATTAACTTCTTTGTTTTTATGTAGAAATATACTAATGAATTGTATTACACTGTCGGTTCGTATTCTAATTAACCGACGCATGCGCATTGTGCAGTTTCTGGCGCGCTCTTTTAAAAACGCAAGGTTAACGGGGTATAAACTGAACACTACAAATGATGAAGATCTTTTAAATAAAATACTTAAATACATATAAAATTAGGTTGCGTATACCACTCATTTTCAAAAAGCCCGCCAAACGCTATGCAGTACCGACTCATCTCAAATAACATTTAACCAAAGAATGATGTATTTCAGTGATGCATTTAATAAAAGCTTACTTCAGTAACATATTCAACTAATAATTATTAAATAATATATTTAATAAACGACTGTTTTAATAATACATTTGAAATCTAATATCGAAGTCATTATTTATTAAATACATCAATGAAATAAGCATCTCTTAAATATTTTATTGAAGTAATCGTTTATTAAATACGTTATTAAAATAATAATGTATTCAATGCGTTATTGATCCACCAATTTATTGATATATTATTAAAATAACCATTTGAAATACATTATTGACATAATTATTGATTAAATACATAAATAGTGTAATTATTTATTAAACACAATAGTGAAATAACCATCGATCAATATTATTTAACCAATGTTGTAGACAGGAACATAATTACTCGTTCGAAAGTGGTTACACGTGAATATTGGACGTTTACAAGCGAACGGTAAGTAATTTAGGAAGAAGCGTGCCTGCTGTTCACCGAGGGAACGTCGTTACGTGAAAATTACTGTCCCGGCGATAAATATTGAATGGCTAGTTTCACATCCTTAGGGCTTCGTTGTCACGAGAAACGTAGCTTCCGTGCCAGAAACGATGTTCGTGCTCGTAGATGAATTTCGTGCGAATTTAATTAGGGAAACAATGGACGCGTGTATATACGTACTTGCCTTCGTCACGAGTATAATTGGGGAAAAAAGATTCATACAGACCGAAATTGGTCCGTGGAAACGTTCGTCTGCAGCTAAATATAAAGGCGAGAGTTTTTACAGAAAAAAGTAATAATCCACTTGCGTGCAAAAGAGATACTATCGTGCAGGGAGATTCGGTTTCATTTAATGCCGCTTCATTTTTCTGCTGATTAGGTTAAACGGTGCGATGTAGGTGACAGGCAATTTTTATATCTCGATGGTCATAAATTCTTACATTTGCAAATTTTCAAAATTGCAAATTGATAAATTGATAAATTGATAAATTGATAAATTGATAAATTGATAAATTGACAAATTGATAAATTGACAAATTGACAAACTGACAAATTGATAATTGACAAATTTACATATTTACAAATTTACAAATTTACAAATTTACAAATTTACAAATTTACAAATTTACAAATTTACAAATTTACAAATTTACAAATTTACAAATTTACAAATTTACAAATTTACAAATTTACAAATTTACAAATTTACAAATTTACAAATTTACAAATTTACAAATTTACAAATTTACAAATTTACAAATTTACAAATTTACAAATTTACAAATTTACAAATTTACAAATTTACAAATTTACAAATTTACAAATTTACAAATTGACATATTTATAAATTGAGAAATATACAAATTCATAAAGTGACAAATTGACAAATTTACAAATTTAAAAATCCTCAAATTACTAAAGTCCTCAAATTCTACAATTTATAAATACCTAAATTCCCAAACTCCCAAATTTGCATATATCTAATTTTCCAAATTCCTGAATTCCTAAATTCTCAAATTTTTACACACCGTTTAACACCATTTTTGAGAAGTCCTGTAGCATCCAATAAACCCGCCAGATAAAGATCTCCGAAGGTCTTCGTGGGAATTTCAGGACGAAATTGTGGTAAAAGTAATTAAGAAAGATTAACAATGAAGAGCAATCAGAACGAAATTCTGGCTACTTAAAAACGGAGAAATTGTTTAACACAAAAGCGGAAATGATTATCCTCTAGTAAAGAATTACCGAATTACAGCGAAACCGTTAAAGAAAGGACGGTTTGCATAATTATTTGTTCTTCCCTTTCTAAAGCAACGTTAAATACTCGCATCGTGTTCACAGTTTTTGCTTCTCCATATCCATATATGTATGCAAAACGAACGCACATAATGTTTAATGAAGACTCGCTTCGATGATTATTTTAACGAAAGTATATTTCTTTAAAAGCAGAAATTAATAATACTATAATTGACACATGTGGATATTCATAAAGTTTAATTTGGGTATATTGTGATGATAGCGGGTGTTGATAGTATTAGACCGCAAAGTAATGTAATTTCCGCGCATGTCAACATTTGTCATTTATCAGCTGATTGTATTCTCTGTCGTGCCAAAGTTTTCAGGTTAAATTGACTCGTTTACTTGCAAATAATTAAATCTGAAATTTTCCTTTGCAATTTTATGTGAAATAGCCAGCCAAATACCAGAGGTACGTATCCATTGTATGCTTTTCGAGTTTCACAAGGGTAGTAACGCAACAGTCGCTACCAAAAACATTTGCGATGTTTATCCAAGTGCATTAGACGTTCGCAAATGCCAGAGGTGGTTTTCCAATTATTCCGATCGCTGCGACACTTTCTAAGTGACAAAAAATTTGAAAATTTTGATGATATCTAAAATGCCGTCTCCAGTTATTTTGCCCGGAAACCAATTGATTTTAATCGAGCCGGCATTGAAAATTTGCCAGTAGATGGCAAAAGGTTGTCGATAACGAGGGTGATTACATTACTGATTAAAAATAAATACTTGTTAAAAATGTGCTTGAATTTAATGTAAAAAACGACATTACTTTTCGGTCCCTTTAATACTTGTGTAATTTAGAAATTTAGGGATTTAGGGATTTGATGATATAGGGATTTAGGTATTTATGAATTTGGGAATTTATAAATCTGAACATTCAGAAACTTGAGAATTTAAAAATTGATGAATTTAAGAATGTAGAAATTCCGGAATTTGAAAATTTACTTTCAAGACCTTATCAATTCCAAAATCTCCAAATTCGAACTCTTCATCTCCACGTTTCTGCATTCTCAACCATTCAAAGAAAGCTTGTAAATAGACGCTATTTCAGGAAAGCTCGAAACTGTTAAAATACCGAAGCGAGTTCATTACAAAAGGCAAAATTTCTCGACCATAAAACTTTGTGAGGCCGTCCTCCGAGCATGCAATAAACGACGACAAACGTGATTTAAAATCTGCATAAAATAAAACGGAACAGCTATAGAAAATATTTACCATCTGCAGTATCTGTCGATTGCAGAAACAACGTTGTAAATAACGGTACATTCGTCCCTTTTGACCGAACATCTGGTAGTCATACTCTTCTCAAATAAAAGACCATACTCTAAACAAAAGTATGGTCTTCCCAAATAAAAGACCACCTAAACAAAAGTATGGTCTTGCAGAGTATAAAGTCTATAGAAGAGTGATGAAGCCTAAGATCGATCATGCCGTAGATCTTTAGGTATACCGTTTACCTTCCATCGGTCATCTACAATTATCACCAGAATCTTCTGATCCTCGGATTACCCTAAACGCTACACAATTAGGATTAATATTAGTCCACGTTCTAATCTCCTCGAAGGTACTACAACAGATTACTTGCTTTGGTATTTGCTTTGCTGGAGGTATTCCCGCTTTTATTTCCCGTTTATGACAGTGTTTATGGTCAGCCGTGTCTCGGTGCTGGGACGTTGAAATGGTGATGGGACTTTGGGAACGGTTCGTTGCTGATAAATTATTATTATTGGTCTCGTGCTCTTTTCTGTTTTAATATTTGGGGACGTGGAATTTGGTCACTTTCGAATTTTTTAATTTAGGGGAGTTTGTACATTTACATGTTTGCGGATTTGTAGATTTGCATATTTATACGTTTACCAATTATAAATGTACTAATTTACAAATTTGTAAATTTATCGATTCACGAATTTACAAATACACCAATTTCTAAATTAATGAAGTTATCATTTTATAAATTCATAAATGTAGCACAAATTTATAAGTCGACTCCTCTTCCGTAAATCGAGTAATATGTTAACAAAAATATCATGTAGACTTCGTACCCTGTAAATATTGTTCTAAACTTTTTTTTGTGAGGTTACTACAAGTGCGCGAAAAATCGTGAGTAACATTACTAACAAGACCCTGTATGCAGAACATGGTAAAGCGTTAATTACACCACAAACAAATGATTGCGAATACTCGTCCGCATCGCTGCAGATAGATGACCTATCTACGAAACGAAGTAATTTGTTCTTCAGCGATGAACGGCGATCAACAACCGTCCGGATTCGAGTGCGAAGGTACGAAACAATGAAAGACAATCAGGAAGAAGACGGAACAATGTAGACTTTCCAGAGGCTAGCCCCGAGCCGAGTCGTGATGGATCGATACAAAGGGTGGTCTGTAGCGTCCATTAGCTTCCCGCGTCTTTTTCTTCTTGCAATTAAACGGCCGTGTCGTGAGAATTGATTTTTATTACACGAAGCCAAACGACAAGATAGCAAAAAGCACAAGCGGCTATCAAGGATCCGTTTGCTTCCTATCGCTCGCAATTTCTTCGTTTCGAGGTCACCATCGTCACGACATTCTAATAGTCCGGGGAGAATAACTTTAACGAGTTAACGATCACGCTTGTCCCCATTTTTCCGACAATGTTAACGACGTATCGGCCGTAGAATGCAAATCGCTTACGTTTCATGTTTTGAGAACGTAACTGTTGAGCTTCGGTATACACGCGTTAAATATTGTTTTCAAAACACGGACGACGGTGATCGAACTCTTTCGTAGTGTTTTTTTCTTGCATTGGCTCATTTGGTAATACCTGCTTGTCGTGCGAGTCGAGGCTTGTACAGAGAGTCGAAGGTTGCGAGATTATTCGCGCAGATGGTACATTTGCAAGATGGCATAAATTTCGCGTTGGAATTCAATTAGAGAGCGCCTTTGAAAAACAACTATTCTTTATTCATGAGTCGCCATTTTCTTTTAACAAAATATTAAGTTTAGTTGTATTCGATCTCAAATTAGAAGTTTTGAAAGGTAGCGGCATTCAGGTAGAGTTGCCACATAGGTCTATATGGATTACTACACGCATTACATGTTGCAGAATTTTGAGATATTAGTTCGGGGACTTGGAGATCTGAATTGTTTGAAAGGAAATTTGAGAATTTGGGAATTTCAGAGATTGGAAGACTGAGAATTTGGATTTTTGGGAAT